CTCCTCCTCGCAGTACATCTCTACCCTGACTCCATGACGCCGGCCCCAACTCCTACTGATTTCTCTGCCCCCAAATTCACAAACTTTTGCTTCTTTTGCAGGGAAGATGGGATGGCTCGTTGTTGGCCCCAACTCCTACTGATTCCTTGCGGTACATCTCTACTCCTACTGGTGTTGTGCATTCAAAGGTCTAGATATCAGATAAAAAGGATGTGTACATAGGGTCACAAACAATGATTCAAATCCCTTACTCGGTATTCTGAAAAAAAAAAAAAGTTTGGTTTCATTTGAAGTATAGTCTTTGAGAAAGCAAGTTGGTTAAGTGTGTGGCACTACTTTTACGTGCATTGCAGATCAAGGAGCTTGGGATCTATTTTGCTGATTGCCCACAAATAGCAAAAATTGTTGACGATATTTTCAAAATCTATTGACGCTTTCAACCATCAACTCAACTTCTTACACCAAACAATCTCGGGACAAGCGTTGGCAAGTTTCTAGAAAGGTTCCATGTTGGTCTCATTTCCCACTGCCAAAAGAAAGATGCAGGTTTCAGGTTTGCATCTCCCTCTGTAGTTTGCACCTTTACTACTTAGCGCACAAATTTGAAGAAAAAATGGTTACATAAATGGGAATAGATTATGTACAATCATTCATTAGGCTATCTTGTCGCATTTGTCTTAATTTTGATCCAGCTTTGATTCGAAAATGCTCGGTATCCTTTATACCTTTTTTCAGTTGACATCCCATTTGTAGATGTAAATCCCAAAATGATGGAAAAATTGGATCCATACCATTAAAAGATCCCGACTTTGAAAAAATACCATCAAAAGATTCAACTTTAGAGAAATAGCGGTGAAATGTTGCTCGTTGTTGATTTCTACCATTACGTTAACTTGCCGTTGGTCTGGCCTAGGGCTGAGTCAACGATTTACGACCATCGATATGAGCGCCACCGTGCTCACCATGACGCTTAGTGGAGCTTCGCCTACCATTCCCGATTCGAAATCCAGTTCTAGGCTACCATTCCTAAATCCGAGTGCTGGGGAGAGATAGAAGGATGAGGGGTTTCAATTTTTGGGGTTCACATGTGTGTGTGTTGGGGGGAGCAGGGAGTATCGATTATCGAGCGCTATTGGCGGCCATGGTTGCGGCTCAAGATCGAGAGCAGTTCGGTACAGCCAAGGAGAGGAAGGGCACGGCTTGGAAATGGTGGAGGAGAGTCTATGGATGCTCACTTTGTCAAAGGAATTGGACCGCTGCGGTGTGGTGGTGGGCGTCATGGATCGACGGGTGCGAACTCCTTCTCAGGTGCTCTACAATAGAGGAGGAAGAAATTGGAGATGATGGGATGGCAAGTAGCAGCTCGAGATGGCACGACAAGCTTAGTGTGGTGAAGGAGAGGGAGAGGAGCAGCTCCATAGGCTGTGGCCGTGGCCGTGAACTGCATCGCAGGCCGGACTGAACGCGAGCAGTGGCGTTGCCAACTGCTGATGGCCGTGGATTTGGTCATGGCAGCCTTCCTGCGAGTCCTGCGTTCTTTTTTCTTACGAGCAAGTTGAGCAAATCAAAGACAAGTTAACAGAAAATGGTTGAAATCAACAACGGAACAACCTTTCAATGCTATTTCTCTAAAGCTGAATCTTTTGATGGTATTTCTCCAAAGTCGGGATCTTTTAATGGTATGCATCCAATTTTCCCCAAAATAATTGATGATTCATTTGAAACCCCTGGGTACAAGAAATCTACTCAAGAATACTACTTGAGCTACCTTTCCTTTGCACCAACGAAATAAATATTTCGTGAAGGTGGTTCAAAAAACCGCCATGAAAAAATATTTTTGGGACATTATATTCCATAAATAAACCTTCATAAAATTTATTAATTTTCGTGTATAGGTGTTGATGGTAAAAAAATGATATCGCAGACATATTGGGGCTTAACAATTTTGTTTGGCTAAATACATGGAGTTGCAGCGGCTATAGAGCTTTTTTTTGAGTTATTGTGAAGTATAACTAGGGCCTAGGGGCTGCGCGGGCGCTTGTCCGACGAGCAGGGTAGTGGCAGCTCAGCATGTGCACACAGGGAGATGGCGAGGCGGTTGTGGGTCCTGGGGCACCTTGAGTGCGTCTGTGGCGCCAAAGGTGGGGCGGGAGCAGGTGGGAGGGGCAGGACTGGGGCACCGGGGTCGCTGTGTGGGGGCCCGCCCATGCACGAGGGCGGCGGCGCCTGCATCTCCCATAGGAGGAAGAAGGGGAGGGGACGGAGTTGTGGCTGACGAGCAGGTCCTATGTGTAAGCGAGAGTGAGGGAAAGAGTTTTTTTTGGAGGAGGGAGCTGGGCTGCGAATAAGAGAAAGAAAAAGATGGATGGTGGAGGATGCTGGATTTTGGCCCAACCAAAGTTTACTAAGTTCTGAACATTTTTTAAATTGATTATAGGTCACTTCCAGTGTTGGTAAATTCAATTCACATTTTGATTACGGTAAAGAACTGAAGGTGAGGTCCTCATTTCCCCTTGAACAACACCCTACAATTTGTTGCTATGAAATATTATGGCCATGAGTAGAACCAATGACTGTTGTGTAGACAGATTACCACCAAAACATATCTGTAAATATTATTCCTCCAGGATCAAAATTTCATTCGCTAAAATTTGAATGTTTCTGAAGAATTTTATGTCCTATGTAAACATGCTGAACGATTGCTGAGTCCTGTGGAAACAAAACTTGATAACAATATCGATATCCAACATATGATCCCCTTTGTAAGTTTGCTCAATAAAAACATCTAAATCTTGCATCACTTGCGCCTCAAACCGTATTCGTGTATTCACTGATCCTGCTTCCCATGACATTATTTCAGTGCTTGCCAATTCAACTGTAGAGATCATGACACAGTCCGGTGCCTACGGCTCTTTATACAACCTAAGATGCAACTATTGCAGCGGAGCATTCCATGGCTTTGATGAAACAAATGTCTTCAGCACCACCGCCATGGCCGCATCTCTTGCGTAATTACGAATTTATGATAGCAGAAGGTGCTTTTGTGGTCACCTAGATCTAGGGAAATTGGTTGAAGAATCAATTAATCTTGTCATGGTGATATTATATGAACTTTTATGTGCGTATGCACAAATGCACAATACTATAAATACATATCTTGATGATTGCAAACCGTCAATGAGAATTTTAACTATGCACAAAATTCAATTTTTAATATTGATATTCCGAACATTACGTTCGCATTATTGTTTTTTTTAACAATACAACACGTTTATGCTCGAATTATCAGGGTATTATTTGTTTACGTTGCAACACACGGAAAGGTCTATACAGTAGAATTGGTGAGCCTGCGACTCCGCGCTCTCTGGGCCTGTTCGGCTGGTATTAAAGCCGACTGAAGCTGTTTTATTGTGAGAGAAAAACACTGTAGATTCTAGCTGATAAGCCGGCTGATAAGTTCAAGCGAACAGGCAATCCGTGATTATGATAATTTTATGAACTTTGTTTTTTTGATTAAATGTTACTTTCATGGTGGTATTTAATTTTGTAGTATTGTTATCTTATCGTGCGATTCGTGTGTTTTTAGTACAAAAGTTTAGTTATCCCGTAGCTAAGGCTGGATAACGAGCTGGCTCGGCTCGGCTCGTTCTGGCTTGTTAAGATAACGAGCTAGCTCGGCTCGGCTCGTTATCCTAACGAGCCAGAAAGCCAGCTCGGCTCGTTCTGGTTCGTTAAGATAACGAGCTAGCTCGGCTCGGCTCGTTATCCTAACGAGCCAGAAAGCCAGCTCGGTTCGGCTCGTTAAAAGCTCGAGCTGGCTCGTTAAGCTTGCGAGCCAAGTATAAAAAATACACAAAATATAATATTTGCATTTATCTAAAGTTTGAGAATAATAATAATACAAAAGAAATGCATCTAACAACCTTAAATCGAATAAAAAATTAATATGCGCTAATATATATACAAGTATAATAAAATATTATAGTATTCATGCATCTAACAACCTTAAATGATACTTTTTTTTTCTTGGAAGCTTGGCTCGTTTAGCTCGCGAGCAGCTCGCGAGCTGGCTCGTTATAGCTAACGAGCTAAAATCTTGGCTCGACTCGGCTCGTTATCTTAACGAGCCGAGCCGAGCCGAATCAAGCCAGTCACGAGCCGAACGAGCTAACGAGCTTTGAGTTTTTCGTCCAGCCTTACCCGTAGCAATACACGGGAACGCTATCCAGTATTTCTATAAAAATAAGAAGTTAGAGTTATGTTTTAGAGACCTTGTGGGTGTCAAAAACGACTTCTTTTACCGACCTGAGCGAGTAACAATATAGGACGGTATCCTGTCCGTTCGTCCTACTAATGAGTGATGACTGGTGAGGCCTTACCAACCGAGTTTGGTTACAAACGGGTTAGCCTAGGCCATTACTATAGCCACGCCCACGCTAGGCTTACCAGTTTTGGGCCGGACACCTGGACTCTTCCTCCGCAGCCCATCAGGTGAAAGCAGAAGGATTCTCTCCCGAATGGCTAGATGGCTCTCAGCACTCTTCAGAATTCTGAACCCGATCTCCCATCGCATTCCTCCGTTTGGAGTCCATCAACAACCTGTCCATTTTCAGTTTGGCCGTGTTCATTTGTCTCGTTTGTATGGCCGCTCTGGTGCTCACCTGCACACACCTATGTAGTCCTCCTCGAAATCCCAAACCAGCCAAATTGCCTGATAAATAGCTGGATATCACTTCAATCCAGGTCGGCTACTATGCTTGCTTCCAGAACACAACAGAGCTTTACTTTGGACGATACGAGATGTACTCCATAGACAACTCCTAAGGAAGAATGGCTAATGTGTCCAGGGCTCCCGCTGGACACTCCGTGGTAAGCCGCAGTGCTGCGTCCTAGTCCTGCTCCTATGGAGACACCTGCAGACCTGGTCAGCATGAGTGTCTCTGTGCAACAATTTTCCTACCAAGCCTAGCAGCTCTCCCTGCTACGACCAAGCTCCAACAATGGCGGTGACGAGCTCTCGCTGCCTTCGGTCCACGCTGTGCTGCCTCTTCTACCTGCTGTCCTCCATCCACGTCCCTCTCGCCGCCTCGCTCTCCTTCCACTTCAACTTCTCAGACCCCGACTCCACCTGCACCGCCCAGAATGCAGAGCTGGCCTGCTCCGGCGACGCCTACTTCCACAGCACCGAGAACGCGATCGAGCTGACCAAGAACGCCATGGGCGACCGCAACAACCAAAGCGTCGGCCGGCTGACGTACACGCAGCCGATGCCCCTCTGGGACGGCACCACCGGCGAGCTCGCCAGCTTCACCACCTCCTTCACCTTCCGGATCAAGCCGGCTCCACAGGACTCGCCGGAGCCGAGCGCCGACGGGATGGCGTTCTTCCTCGCGCACCACCCGTCCGGGGTGCCGCCCCCCGGCAGCTTCGGTGGGAACCTGGGCCTCTTCAACGACAGCACCAACAGGGATGCCAGGGGCGACGACCGCGTCGTGGCGGTCGAGTTCGACACGTTCCAGAACGCCGAGTGGGGGGAGGTGGACGGAAACCACGTCGGGATCGACGTCAACTCCATCTTCTCTGCTGATTTCATCTCTCCCAACAAGAGCATCAAGTCTGGTGAGACCTTGGCCGCCGACGTCGCCTACGACAACAGCACGGAGACGCTGTCCGTCACCCTCCGGATGAACGGGGCACCGTACCGTGTCAGCGCCAACGTCGACATGAGGAGAAGCTTGCCCCAGATGGTGGCCGTCGGCTTCTCCGCTGCCACCGGCAGAAACGTCGAGGCGCACCAGCTCCTGTCGTGGTCCTTCAACTCTTCTCTCGCCATGTCACCTGGGGAAGCACCTGCACCTGTGCCCTCTCAAGCCATCACCTCCAAAAGGCATTCCAAGGCGCATAGCAGCATGATAGCAGTATCTGCTGCTGCAGCTGTGTTTGTGGTTATATGCGCTTTAATTGGGTTTGTTCTGAGGCGGAAACTGAGGATCTGGAAGAAATCCAAGGAAGCATCCGGATCCGGCGGCGGCGGCGAACTCGACGATGAACACGACGGCGGCGAGGCTGAGTTTGAGAAAGGCGTCGGCCCAAAGAGGTATTATTACAGCCAACTTGCGGCCGCGACGAGCAATTTCTCGGAAGAGATGAAGCTGGGGAGAGGCGGCTTCGGCCACGTCTACCAGGGATGCCTCAAGATCGACGGCCAGGACCGCCGTGTGGCCATAAAGAAGTTCTCGGAGTCGTCCGTGCAGGGGAGGAAGGAGTTCGAGGCCGAGGTGAAGATCATCAGCCGGCTGAGGCACCGCAATCTCGTGCAGTTGATCGGTTGGTGTGACAGCTGCAAAGGTCTCCTCATCGTCTACGAACTCGTGTCGGAGGGCAGCCTTGACAGGCACATGTATAAAAACACGAGGTTGCTTACCTGGCCTCAAAGGTATGATCGACTTTTTTTTTTTGCTGCATTACATGTTTACATGGAACTGTCGAAGAACAAAGCCTTAATTGTTCACCTATACGAATAATGATTGTGCTGGAAATTCCTCAACATTCAATAGCTCATACTGTTAAAGTATCAAATGCATGCCCTTCCTATCATCTCAATTACTCCATATGTTCCAAATTATAAAACATTCTGATTTTTTAATATATATATATATAGCTTTTTACTATATATCTAGATAAATATTATATCTAGATAAATCGCTCATACAAAGTTTTTTTTGCCAATTACTAAGACATACTCCCTTGGTCTCCAATAAATAAATTTCTAAAGTTTATAATTTGTCAAAAAAAAACATTCTATAAAAAACATAGGACACTGCCTCATAATGCGGAATCTAATCATGAGTGCATATAAACAATAACTACCAAATCCAAGAGATATTCTCCAGAAAAGAAATTAAAAGAAGATGAGTCCTTAATTTGTCTGAAAATTTATAAAAAAATATTATTTATTTTGAAAAACGGGTAGAGTACATAAGATTATTTTGCCTGGTTTCCCAATAGACATGAAACCTAACTAAGATTCATGCTTTAGGATGGTGTGGGTATTAGAGCATCTCAAGAGTTCCCTAAATCCCTTTCTAATCCTTGGTTTTTAGCAAGATAAGAAAAAATCCCCTCTCCAACAACTCCTAATCCATCATCCTAATCTTTTAGAACTTAGAAAAGTCACCCTATTCCGCGTAAAGTTACGTGCTTCTGAGTCGCGCGTATCTTCTATCTTCCGCACGTGTTTGTCAGCCGAACTAAAGGTGGAAGGGCGTGGAAAGAATAAATAGTACGAAAGGGTTTCTGATGCAAATGTACAAGAGAGAAAGAATATATAAAAGTGGTTAGGATAATTTAGAAATAGTATAGGATTCCTGATGTAAAATTGTCTTCTATATTTTAGGACTGGATTATTAGAAACTCTTGGAGATGGCCTTCTTTATTTCTTCCAATACTTTTTTCAGAGTCGTAAAACTTCATATTTTTATGAAGAAAATATTAGGTACTCTTGGAGATGCTCGCATTAGTTGAACTTTCTTAAACCTTAGTTATTTATAATAAAATTATAGTTAATTTTACCCATGAGTTATAGGCACTATCTAGGTGTAATGGTACCCGCTTGTTTGGTTTATGGGCAAGCGCAGCCACGCTATAGTTTAGGTGCGCCATAATTTCTTAAGCTATTGTTGAATTCTCTGCTATAATGCCATCCTTCGGCCCCACTTGTCAATGGATCCATTTCTTTGCCAAACAATACTTATGGTGTGAGTGAATAAATTGTTAGCCACGCATTTTATGAAGTTTGGTAAAGAAATATGGTAACTTTTTGTCATATAATCCAAGCACACCCAGGGGTAATGATGGTGTAGTGAAAATTAAGATGCTATAACCTCTCATGAACTTGAACATTTTAGCAATGTCACAATTTTATAGATGGTATTAATTATTTGGCAATCTTATGTTTCAAAATACTGTTCTGGTAACAATTTCCCTTTTTATACATACATACAAACCTTATCATCTTCTATCAATAGGTACAAGATCATCATCGGCCTCGGCTCTGCGCTGCGGTACCTCCACGCGGAGTGGGAGCAGTGTGTAGTGCACGGTGACATCAAGCCAAGCAACATCATGCTGGATTCCTCGCTGGACGCCAAGATGGGCGACTTCGGCCTGGCGAGGCTGATCGACCACGGCGTGAGGCCTGCCACGACGAAGGTGGTGCTGGGCACCGCGGGATACATCGATCCGGAGCTCGTCAACACGCGCCGCCCCAGCGCCGTGTCGGACGTCTACAGCTTTGGCGTCGTTCTCTTGGAGCTCATCACCGGCCGGCGCCCGGTGGAGGAGCCCGACGACAGTGATGACCTGTTCGTGCTGGTGAGGTGGGTGTGGCGCTTGTACAGCAGGAATGCCATCGCCGAGGCGGTGGACGAGAGATTGTTGAGCCTCCAGGGCGATGATGGCGAGGTGGAGGAGCGGAGGCAGATGGAGCGCGCGCTGGTCGTGGGGCTCTGGTGCGCTCACCCGGACCGCAGCGAACGGCCGTCCATCTCGCGTGCCATGCACATCCTGCAGTCCACGGCGGATGTGGTGAAGTTGCCGGTGCTGCGGGCGCAGATGTACAGCAGTGACACGTTTCATACCGTAACCATGGGAGGAGATGGCTACGGCGATCTGTCTTTCGGGGAGACGTCCACTGGCAGTGACACGTCGACTGGCGGCTGCAATTCTCGTTCAGAGAGCAAATGAAGAGCGAATGATCAGTGGCGGAGCCAGGATTTATACTCAGGGGGGCCGGCCGTCAGGAATTATACTTAGGGGGGGCCGGCTCGGTCTTTTTTATTGCGATAATTTTATTATCTAGTTGTGTTTTGTATAATTATATTATCTAGAAGATATTAATAGGTATATATGACAAGAATTTTATATAATCTCCCTCTTAATATAAATAAAAAATATTAAGTCATACTACTATTTTTTGTTGTTGTAAAACATTGGGGCGGGGGGGGCATGGCCCCTGCCATGCGAATGATCCAAATGATGAAATTCAATATGTATTTATGCAATGCTTTAGCGGTTGTTTATGATCCGTAACAGAATCCCACTGAAAATACATCCCTAGTTATTTTTCTTTGCATTACTATTTACTCAATCATGTGAACTTGTAAAGATAAAGGAAAATACTAATGCTAATTTCTTTAGTTTTACTTTCAAAAAGTTGTAACTGACAGCCTAACAAGGAACCTACATATGCATCAGATGCTTGCAGCACTCTACACTTGTCACTTGTGTCTCCTCCTGTGGCTTGATGCTAATTGGGCAAGTTGTCCAGATAGCGCAAGTCAACATCTGACTATGTCATTTTTTAGTGACAATCTCGTCTCAATGGCCCTTCCTGATCAAGTATCTCGCACCAGCGCTTAAGCAGAGTATCGTGTCTTGGCCAACACTGTCACCGTGGCCACTTGTTTGCGTGAATTTCTACTCGAGCTTTCGGTCCTCTTTCATCGAGCCATGCTGGTTTAATGCGATAACACCAATGCCGCCTATATATCACTACTAGACACCTCTTTTTTTTTCTTTTTCTTTTGTGGAGCGGCTCAATGTAAAACTGACTCTAAAAATATAGTTCCTAAAATGAGTCATCTCTATAAATCGATTTATAGGGGCGACTGATATTTCTAATCACCCCTACGAATGACTCTATTTTTAGGGGTGGCTCTAGATCCAACCACCCCTACAAATAGATTCGTAGAGACGACTACCTTTAAAAATAGGCGCTAAACAGTAAAATTACATATTAAAATTCAAAATTTTTAAACGACTTCAGATAGAGAACTACTAAGACAAAAGTTGTAAATCTCGAAAATGTTATACAATTTTATGCTTGACAACTTTTGAATTTGTTATCATCTATCTAGACTGGTTATAGATATTTCTATAGCCACCTTGATTTACGTTAATGTTTATACTAATTCCTGACAAAGTGAATACATATTTACGATATATGTGTTAGTATAATTCATGATGATATTTACCATAATATTATAGTAAATCACTTTGGAGGGAGTTACTATAATCTCATGAATTAGAATAGTAGTTACCGTAACTCAGTGTGGCCACCGAATATGGATATTGATTATACAAATTATTTTCCACTCTATAGATATTGATTTATTGTAGCTATAGAGTAGTTATATATATACAGAAATTATTTTCCACACTCTATGGATATTGATTCATTTTCTGTAATAACATAGTATCTATATGTAAATGTGAGAGACATGTTTTTTATTTTTTATATTGGCTGAGGTGATACAAATATATTTTCTGTAATAATATTTTATATTCCTTCACAATGACATATATTGGTAGGTTTAATACAAACTTAGGAGGTTACTTTGTATTATCTTTCACAATAACAAAAGTGGTTTATTTATAAAATGATTAGGAGTATTTTAAATTATCTTTCATAACATCAAAAGTGGGTAATTTAGATGCATTGTTAGGGTTTTTTTTAATTATGTTTCATAATATCAAAGCTTGGTAATTTAGATATAACTTTAGGGGATTATTTTGAATTAATTCACAATGGCAATTGTGAGTAACTTACATACAAATTTAGGGGGGTATTTTCAATTATCTTTCGTAATGGCAGATGTGGGTAATTTAGATAGAAAATTAGAAGGTTACTTTATGTATTTTTCATAACGGCATAGGTGGGTAATGTTTTTATAAATTATGATAGATTGGCTGACTATTATCGATGTCGATGATTATAGTCTCCAAAACTAAAGGTCAGATATTTCTAATTATTGTGAGAATTTCTAGAATTTATCTTTTTTCTTAGCGCATCTGGTGAGAATTAACGTGGTGCCTCTGATGGGTATCTAATTAGTAATAGTAAGATGAAGAAGAACTTTTAATATCTAGGATATGGATAATTTGAATCTGATTTGTGGATGTGGGGTAGGATATGGAATCAACAAAAATCGAAGAATATGGATCACCCGCAAATTCTATGCAGATTATCCGATGTTTATAATAGGATATCCAATAATTTATGTTCCATCACTGAAACCTAGAAGAATTTAGGATTTAAAAAATGTTTATTAGTTGAGAACTCTTATTTTGTGTTGTTGTTGTTTGACGTTATAAATTTTGAATTGAGATCTTGCTCGCTGTTATTATATATTGGATAAAACTTATCATTTGTGAGTGAGGGTAACTTGTTAAGTGTTAATTGTGTTGGTGTCATAGCCACAACATGGAATACAATGGAGGATTGTTGACTACTACTTGTTATTCGCTCTTTACAAAATTAATTATTGACAAGCGTATAATTATCTATGTATGTACATATTACTTGACTATTTAAATTTGTATCTGATCTGATTCTGCTCCATATCCATACTAGTTCTAACATCTGGAAAAATCCACATTCACATCCACACCTGTGTATTATCCGCTCTGCTCCAAATCCAACAAACTTAAGCGTATGAGGATATCGAAGATGAGGCCATATACTGCCATTAGTTTATGTCTTCTCAAACGATGTAATCTATGTCCCAGCATAAGGAATATTAGTTGAGTTTCTTCATTGTATTAGTTAATCATGTTTGTACGCTCGGGGTTAATTTATTGAATTAAATGTAACAATGACATTATTTTATTTTTTGAAGTGAGTCGTTCTTTACATATTGCCTCTAAATGATTATTCTATGATGATTATGTGTTATGCTAATGATAAAGAGAAGTATGACCAATGAGACCCTGATCGAAATTATAACATTTATTGATTAAGCCACATTTCGAAGGGGAGAAATAGAGCTTCTCATTAGAGCTGAGATACTTCATGTATCAGGCTTAATTTAAAACTTATGTTACTCAGCTCCTACCTTGTACCAAGAGAAGTTATGTCAAATAGTTGAGATAATATGGGAATTTAGAAATTCGAAACCTTGATTCTTGTAGTTCATTTCCTTGCGGCATTAGTAGACTTGTTGTTCATTTACTTACATTAATTAATGTTGACTCTCATCATGGATAAATCTCTCCATTTAGTGAACTAATCTGAAGCACTTCATAAAGTCTGGCATGAGAAATCAGCATAACTTAATATTAAGGTGCACAAGTTTCAGATCAACAAGGAGAATATTATGAGAGAATAGTCAAACCCTTGGTTCTATTGCCATATTCATTAATTGGCATATCTACTATGTGTATGACTCATAGCAAACTTCAACATAATGTGGAGCTGAGGAATGTAATTGTGCCCTTATACATATGGTTCGCATGCTTAATTGTTTCATATTGCCAATGAGTTTGTGGAAGTTATGGTATTAATGGCGGCTGCATTACTGATGTGTATGGGCTGCTTAGCCAACACTAAGTCATTCAATTTAGATAAAGTACTAGGCCAATAAAGTCATACAACAAGTTGTGTTGGGAAATCAGAATTAGTTGAGCTTAGAAGCCAAGACATTGATCTTGAGGAAATATGGGTGTTGGCGGTGCTTAACTCACATAATCAACCGCCAACACTTGCATAAAATCCTAGCACACAAACACCAAACATAGAAATAGGGCTTTAAAACTAATAATTTTCTACAAGTTTTGGTGTTTGACCATTTGCAGGAGGGTATTTGTGGAAGTACACATAAAGGGCTAAGAAATGTGCAAAAGAATGGAGCACTAACACCATTCTACACAAGCCTAAAGGAGAGAGGCCCAATCACCAGATGATTTAGGGCCCATACGAGAGAAGAACAATGACAAACCTAAATCCAAACACCACCAATCAGCACCAAACCCACGCAGGCCCACTCTAGAAGACCAAAGAAGACCTCACAACAAAATTGGACTCAAGGTGGCCCACCTAGGGTGCGGCCGCACCCATGGTGCGAGCGCACCCCTGCTGGTGTGCCTCGGGCCCAACCTTCTCTAGGCGGTTCATATCGCCTCTCTTTGGTCAGTTTAGGTGGTTTGGCGGTAAATTAAATGCTGAGGAGGGTGGTTTGCTCCTTCCATAAGGGAATAGGGAATTTTTCAAGGAACCCCCTCCTCTCCACCTATAAAAGGAGGCTCCCTCCTCCTCATTTGAACAACACCTCAAGGAGCAAAGAGCAACACCAAGAGCACCATCCCAAGGGCTTAGGCCCTAGCTAGCTATCTAGAGCAAGTAGTTGGAGAGATGCGAGGGAGAGCTTGGGGAAGCGCTGGACTTGTCGGTGTCTCCCCGTCTTGTACCTCAGCGAACACCTGCGTTATACTTCGTAAGTGAGTGTTCATGGTTCTTTTGGTTATAAAGTCTTTGATTAGTTAATCTTTACTCTTATTTGTTTGCGGGTTTGTCATCCGTCCTAGTGGCGGTTGCTCTAGTAGAGGGCTCCTGATAAAGATGGATCACCCTATATGACAATAGAGTAGTAGTTGATAGCGTAGACGTGGTGTCTAGGCTAGAGGCTACCTTTGTTTGCCTCGTGCCCCATGGTTGAGGGGTAGACGGCTGGTGGTTATAGCCCTGTCCGTCCCTTGTAATCCCCCATGTCTAGGCACGGCGTAGAGCCATAAGCCGGTATCGCCTGGCAAACCATGTGCACTCCGGTGCCCGAAGTAAGCGAGTAATAGTAAAGTTTATCTATCCTTAGACTCTTAACCATAGAAATCCTCTCTACCCTCTACCTACTCTATCCTTGTGTTGTCTTTGGACGAACTAGGTAAAAGATTTACCTCCGTTCCTTGTGGAAAATATGATACCCTGAATACTTTCGGGTGAAATGCTACAACGGTAATTCCGTGTGCTTGCGGATCATTTCTATTTGCGTTAAGAAATACCAACAAGCATTTCTCACGCCGTTGCCGGGGAATGGTTGCTTTATTTCCTTCAAACCTAATTCGTCCTCGTAGCTGTATCTTTTCTTTTTTATATAAAAAAACACAAAAAAATTTTACCATGAAAACCACTCCTATACAATGCCAGTTCACTTCAAAGAGCGAGTTCTCTGAGCCACCACCTTTCAAAACCACCTGTTCATCTGGCTGTGAAATCTGCCCTGGCTTGATAGCCATGGTTCGGGCACAACCCTTCTCCGGGCATGATAACAAAAACCCCTGCCATCACCTGCTAGAGTTCTAGGAAATGTGTTCATGCCTGAGCATCTCTGGCATGACACAAGAAACTCTAAAGTGGAAATTGTTTCCCTTCTCTCTCACGGAGAAGGCGAAGAAATGGTTCACACACAGAAGAAAGTATGAATGGGGATTGGGATGAACTTAAGGACAAGTTTTGTCTTGCATTTTTCTCCATGTCCCGTATCGTCTCTCTACCAAGGGCAATCCTCAACTTTGAGCAGCGCGAGGAGTCTATAGGTGCAGCCTGGGTCAGGTTTTCAGTGTTAATACACGCCGGCCCAGACTTGTCTTTACCCGACAGCATATTGCTGCGACTCTTTTGTTTGGGTATTGATATGTGACTTTACTCCCCATCTATGAAATATGGGACTACATCTGCTAATTAAAGTTCTGAAGTTGAGCACTCAATTATGAGTACTGGATCGATATTATAGTTTGTAATGGCAAGGTAATTGTGATATTAAACCTCTATGGCCTGTATAGACCCCCTATGATGACTAATGACTTGTTTAGATCATAGTGGTGTAGAAATCTACCATTAATGAAGACTATGTCACTGGCATTAGTTAGACGTTTGTGACTTGAAAAGGTATATGTTCCTGTACTACTCAAGGAGCCATAATGAAAATACTCACCTAAATGCTTTAAGTCCATGAAAGGGTGAGTTAAAGTATATGAGCTCTAATGAAGTATGGACTTAGTAGAAATTCCTAATGGGATCAGCACAGTAGACTACCGATGGCTCTATATAATTATTTGTGATTTCAAAAGGAAGGTGGAAAATTTCAAGGCAAGGCTCGTAGTAAAAGAGTTCATGTGAGTTCTGCCTCCCGTGTCACATAAACATCATTTAGAATTGTCATGATGCTTGCTTGCCACTGATTATGGTTTGGAGTTGCATTATATGGATATCAATACTCCCTGATAGTAACTTGCATAAGAACATGTACATGGCTCAACTATGAAGTTTAGTCATGGAAAGCAAGTGACATGCGGAGTCACAACTATAGCAGGCCTACCATAGCTGGCTCGTAACCCCCCATCGCTGGCGGTTTTGAGCCTCGACAGTGAATTGTCAACGGTGATGGCATGGTCATCACAGCCGGTTTGAAACCGACTGTGATAGTGTGCTCCCTCCCCCACCCGACCACATTGTGGTGGCGGTGATGACGCATTGGCGTTCTAGCTTACGCATCATATGCCACGTCCAAGAGGCTGAGACCCTGAGTACTGATACATAATATATGAACTATGGTGGTTGGTTGGCTGGTTGCTTTGTGGTTGATACATGATATATGAAATACGGAGGCTGGCTAAAACCTTGACTTGTATGGTTTGTGAATTGTGATTTCTTCTTTCTATTATTTTTCGTTGCACTATACATGGTGCATACAAGAGTATATAACAATTATGAATATGTATTGTATTGCTACCTAAGATCCGATCACCAAGGTGATGCAGTGACGGGAAGGCCACCACAGGCACCGACCTCCTCTTCTCGCCGACACCACCCCTCATGACGTCTCTGCTTCCTCCTCGGCGTCCAGAGGAGGCAGAGGCATTGACACATCTCGTCTACTTCACTCGACGACCTCTGCTTCCACTATCGATGGCAGAGTACCCACCTCCCGGCTATGTAGTCTCACAATCCATCTAAGATTAGATCGTGTTCATGTAATTATATCAGTGATCATGTGGTTTAGCCCTCTAGTCGCCATTTCGGTTCTTCAATATGCTCTAATAATGAGACTCGTGGCTACAACAAGTACAGTGGCAAAGATGCACCAAATGACAACCATGCCTAGAGCAAGTGCAATGACATATGCAACAAAAAGAACACATCTGGTTGGAACATTGAAAAGGCACAATAATAAGCAAACCAAAAGTTGCAATGCGACATATCTTAAGGGTCGTTACATGCATGTATCCCCAAATCTTTGTTCTCAAATCCTTCAGATGATCGGACATGGGAGAGCAGACCATCTCATCTCAGATGCACTTCTCCAAAGAAGCGTGTCTCACCGGATAGGACAACTACTTGGAGGAGTAACCGATGGAGGGAGAAGAGAACATTGATTGATGGGAACAAGACAAGGTTGCAATGAGCTCATCTTTTGATTTATAACTGCTGGAGAGACGAGGGAGAAAACATAGACGAAGGAAGAATGGGTGAAGGGTCGCAGGGACAGCACATTAATAAACATGTGAACAAAAGGAATATCTAACGTTTGATGTAAGAACAAAGTTGTGCAGACAGATTAAACTTGTACCCTATGTGAGAGTTAAGAAAGATTATTCTTCGGAAAGTAAGTATGCAAGCAAGATGAAAGCTAAGCCCGGCTTGCAGCAGATGATACAACGCTATCTGAGGTCTCACATGACATGTCATCAGCAGCAAGGTTTGATGGCCCATGCATGAATCCCGGCAGTGGCAAAGGAGGGATCGCCACGTTCGTGGACTCCAAGGCCCTCATGGCTTCTTTGATGGATGGTCTCTGAGCTGGATCGGTGTGTGCGCACCAGAGCGCGACCTGTATCACGCGCTCCATCTGTTCTTGTTCATCTCTCGTAGAGTCATGCTTGAGCCTCGGATCTGATGCTTCAAGGACTGCGCCGCTGTTCTTTATCCCCCATACCCATTTTAGCAAAGGGGAGACGGTAGTGGGATCGACGGCAGCAGCAGCAGGGCTCCGGCCGGTGACTGTCTCTAGTAGAACAATGCCAAAGCCATAGACATCTGACTCCCTGCTCCGCTTCCCAATGTTTATAAAATCTGGATCTATGTAGCCTGGCGTTCCGGCTACATTACATGTCGTTTTCAGCTCGATCGCATGGTCCATCAACCTCGCCAACCCGAAGTCAGCTAATTTCGCAACATACTGTGAATCAAGCAATATGTTAGATGCTGATATGTCACCATGTAAGATGCAGCCCGTGCATTCTCCATGTAGATACCGTAGAGCACACCCGAGGTCGAGGATGATTTGATACCTAATATATAAGCAACAACCAAACAAAGCACCCGTAAATTATTGATGTAAAGTACCTCCAATTATAATTGAACAAAAGACAGGAGAATAATCAAAATGTTATGTTCTGCTATAAATGGAAGAAGGAATGTCTGTGTCAGCTCAAGGATAAGATAAGAAAACTAGTACGTACATACCTTCTGGACCATGGCAACCAACTCCTTCCCTTGTGCAAATGGTCGTGGAGGCTACCTTCTGAAACAAGCTCGTAAACAAGTGACACGATATCCTTTTCTTCATCAATACACCAGCCTATTAACTCAACCAGGTGCCTTTGCCTGACTTGGCTAATAACCTTGATTTCATCTTCGAATGCCTTCCTCCTGTCAGTGGCAGATTTTCCTAGTTTGAAGTTTTTTATGGCCACAAATCGGTCTGGGTTCTTCAGTTGGCCCTTGTAGACGACGGCGTAGCCCCCTTCCCCGAGCTTATTAGTTTGCACTGAAAAGTTGTTTGTCGCCTTGGCCAGCTCACGGTAACTGAAAGGCCTGGGAACGTTAGTAGGAGCCTTGTCTAAACTAGTTGGTGTTTCTGGTTGCTCATCATCTAGTTTGTCATTTGAAGTTGGCTTCTTTCCTGCACACGGCTTTCGCCGACATACTAGGAGAGCACACAAGGCAACTATCGCTACCGCAACTACTCCGATTACTGCTCCAACTATCTTCCATGGAACCTTCGAGGAGAAACCTCCACGACGATTACCATTATCATCAGGTGAAGGTGAAGCTGATGATGAAGGTGTAAATGACGGTGCAGGTGCAGGTGGAGCAGGGGCTCTATCCAGTGTGGAGTAAAATGACCATGCCAGAACCTGGTGTAGCTCGACAGCCGCACCAGTAGCTCCCGAGAAGCCAATTGCCACCATGCTCGATAAGAGTAACCTGAGGTCAGCACTAGTCTCGACGTGGTAGGTCGCGTCGCCAATCTGGAGGTCAGCAGTGAGACGCTTTGTGCTGTTGCCGTAGCTCACCTGGCAGCTCATCACGAGGCCCGACGTTATGTTCTTTCCAGGGACGCTGGCATCCGTGTACGCCTTTGAGATGAGGGAGTTGATGTCGATTCCTATGTGGTTGTCACTGATGTCGTGGTACTCTGTGTTCTTGAACGTGTCGAATTCGACTGCCACGACCCTATTATCCCCCGTCGCGTTCGTGCTGTTTTCGCCCGCGCTGAAGAGGCCGAGACCACCGCCACCACTCGCGGATGGGATGCTCGACGGGTAATGCCCGAGGAAGAAGGCCATACCGTCGCCAGCGGTGATGTTGTTTTGGTTGTCTCGGAGGATTTTGAAGGAGAACGTGGTGGTGAAGCTCACGACCTCGCCGGAATCCTCGTCCCAGATGGGCACAGGCTGAGCGTACGACGCCCGGCCTACGCTGTTGTTTAAGCCTTGGTTCCTGTCATTCCTTGTTAGCTCGATCACCTGGGAGTTGAAGTATGCATCGCCGTCGAAGCTGAAGTTTGCGGCGTTATAACCTCCCGGTTGGGAGAAATCGAAGTTGAAGGAAAGTGAGGTAGAATAACGAGGCAAGTACAGTAATGTTGACAGCAGCAAGTAGCAAAACTGAAAGGACGGCATCAGTTTAAGGTAGGGAGAGTCGACTGCGACCATTTTTTTTGCTAGCTCTTGCCTCCTCGTCTCTTTTTGGAGCTGAATAACACTTGGGTGAGCACATGTACATATGTGTACACTACTATATATATGCACGAAATGAAGCTGCGCTACCATATACAGCTAGATGTTATAGCGCTATGCCGGCCATATACATAATAAGACAAACAGCACAGCTCGTTCTCTGCATAGGAAACTACAATTAGTACATCCTGGTCGGAGTAATTTGCAGGCAATGGTGCTCCTTCCCACAATTGGCTTCGATGTTTCCGCTATTGATTTGGATTATTTGGACCGCGTCGCTGGCACAAACAAGGGGCGCTGAGATATTCTCCTTCGGCAGCAAGCAATTCGTGACATCAACACTAGGTGATAATTCCGTGACATCAGCACTAGATGATAATTCCGTGAACAAGTCACCTGGGATACATACAGCAGGCAAAAGTGCCTACCCCTCACCCCTCCCTAACACCTAAATCATCAGTAATAGCTGCCACCCGAACACGCAAGAGCAAAAGATGTGAGGCCACAACAGACCAACATTCAACAAAAAAAAAAGCATCTAAACTCAAGGCACCTAAGAACCCAGATACTCGAGACAAGAAAGGTACTATTGAGGCATCCTTTTCTATTTTTTCTGATAGTAGAATTATTAAGAATACTAGGGGATTGTTTGTTTTGCAGCGTGGCCTAGGGGTGCTCGCCCAGGCAGGTCCATTCATCGACCACCAGGCGCTCAAAATCGATGGCCTGGGGACCTGCCTGGCCCAGGCACCTTTGCCAGGGTCAGAACCAAACAGGCCCTAGCAACATGGGTGTCTTTTTAAGATCCTCGAATAATAAAATTTGTAAATCGGTAAATCTTTTAAAACACATGGAGTTTGATAGGCAATGTGTCTCTCCTGAAGTCACAGTTACTCTACACAAAGATGCATTTAATTTGAAGTGTTGTACGGATGACTCACGTGATGAAATTAATTGCTGGAGCTACATGAATTAGTGTGGTGCTTGTTTCTTTTTCACTAAGTGTCATTTCTGCGGCAGTGTCGCAAAATGCTGCAACAGTGCCACGTGCACTTGCGAAAGTGCCGCGCATGGCATGTTCAGAATCTTTTTGAAGTGCATAATTGCCATCTGCATCATGATTATTTTATATGACATAGCGTGCAGCACCCTGCAGAAGCATGGATATAGGGGGGCCATCACTTATCTCAATATGTGAAACATTGGCCTTTCAAGCCAATTCAAGAATTCAAATCTTGCTTCACATATTTAGGGGGAGTCTCTATACCCATGGATCGAAAATCTTAGTATATATTTCATTCATTTGTAAGCTCAAATTTTGTTGTCATCAATTACCAAAAAGGGGGAGATTGTAAGTGCAGTCAAGCTCTAGTGTGGGTTTTGGTGATGACGACCACATAATTTGAAGACTAATAAAATTTATCGAGTTGATAAGCAAGAAATACTTAGTGAGGATACTACATTGTCTTGGTGGAGCGCCCAATTACAAAAGGTTGCGGTGGCTGACTCTATAGAGGTTTAAATTTATTTTATATTTTGAAATTGAATATAGGAACCGTCGTACTATCAAGGGGATGCCAAATGCATGCTTTAATGTGCAACCAAGTGCTCAACCTTAACCCACCTTGCATGTTTCCTCACAATCTAACCAAGCCAGCCAAAGCTTAACTCCTAATTTCTGTTGTGGGCTTGCGCGGAAGTACCACATAAATATGAGCACAATCACACTGTGGAACTGCCATGTATTCCGCGGAACTTGTGTGACTTATCGGCTAGTTGGGAGGCCGAGGGTATTTATACCCTTTCTTCCTCCTCCCAATGGTCAGTTCACACGTTCATTCACATCAGCCAGCAGACAAGCTCTCTCTAAGCCATTGAAGTGCATCGAATCTCTCCCCATCAATCCCTAGTGATTCCTTGAGAGATTAGCCTCCAGAGAATTCACAAAAGAGCTTGCCATCTTGAGCTTCAACTCCTAGCGCACTTGGTTCGTGTTCAAGCTGGCATCTTGCATTTGTTACTCTTTAAGAAAGGGCTCCTAGCCGGCTAGGCGTTGCCTGTTAAAGCACTACAACCTCTTGTGGGTGCTATGGGAAGTTTGTACACTCTCCAAAAATCTAGTAAGAACTCTCAAGCTAGAGACTTTCTCTCTTAACTTGAGAAGATGATAGGGTTCTGTGATACCCAAGCCTTGGTGGCTTCCTCAACAATGTGGAGTAGGCAAGCCTTTGTGGAGAGCTAAACCACGGGATAAACACCTTGTCCTTGTGTTCTTGCTGTTTTCTTCATGCTATACTTGTGTTGGTTGTGATTCTAGGGTTTGCTCTTGATCTACTTTTACAAGAGCTTCTGACCTTGGAGAAGTGGTGAATAGGACCTAACTATACTACCAGGAACGCTAGTATTTCACTCGATCTACTTTTCCTTTACTAGTTTTCGAATTGTGGTTTCGAGTTACTCTGATCCGGGAAAGTGTCGCAGTTGTACATGAAACTTCCGCGCAACAGAAGTTCCGCGTGCAAGTACGGCAGTGCCGCGCCTGTACTAACCGCTACATTGAGTTTAAATTTTAAACAGGTGTATTCAACCCCCTTCTAGGCTTGCCTAATCCTTTTCAAAAAACAACTTAACCTCAACTTGAGCTTCCATCCATCAATTGCTTCCCACATTGATCTTGCATACTTGAGTTCATCACTTCATACTTTGAGCATGTGTCAACCTTGAGCATGTGACTTGAACCACTTCTAATTTGAATTCCATCCATAGGCTTTAAATCACATTCATATATGATTTGATCCTTCACATCAACATGACTATCATAGCTTGCATTGATTTGTACCTCGACTAAATGCAAGTACTCTCTTCTTCACCCTAATTAGTTAGGTCCTTCGTTTGGCCGCCAAGCTATTGCTTGCACTTCACCCTTGCTTAGTACCTCAAAAACCTTTCCTTGCTATCTTCACCTTATCAAGCCACATCTTGCTTCGATCCAACATTAACCATACAATAAATAACTTGTTTTTTTTACCGAACTGGTAGGGGAGCCCCTACCTTTTTTTGCTTTTCTCATTAAAGGAAAGAATGGTTTATGTACAAAAAACAGGAGTACAAGGCAGCTAGGCCCAAAAGAAAAAATGCCTTAAATATAAAGGCTATCTCTCCATAAATTAATTGGGCCCTGTCAGCTTGGTTTGGCTTTGGTACACACTAAGCCAAGCTTTTCTTTCAACTCACTTTTCCAATAACTGATGTTAACCTGACCTTGGTCAAAGATGACTTTGTTTCTTGTAGTTCAAATCACCAAGCAATAGGATTTAGTCTTGTATTAGAGATAGAGAGATAGAGTGAGAGGGAAGAGTTTCGGAGGAGTTTCGGCCTGTCGGTGCTCTCTCTACGGCTTATACCCTGGTGGAATCAAGTTCTTCTTGAGTTTGCTTTTGAGATTTCTCTAGTAATCGACTTCTAATTCAAGTAAGCATCTTGTTCATATTGTTCTTTAGGTTTGCGACTCTCTCTTTGAGTACTTTAATCCTTGTAGCTCCTGGGTTAAAGTAGTATTCATAGTGTAAGCGTGGTGCTTAGACTCGGTTACTCATGGATGTACCCTACTTTCTGGATCGTGGTAGCTCGCGAGGGTGACTCTTATAGCCTCATTGAATCCTCTGTAGTCCACCTCCCATTAGTAGGCCTAGCAGGACCTTGTTACTCTAGGAAACATACCCTGCCTATGTTTTCTCTAGTAATATCCCTAGAATTGAACAATAGAAGACAAAGCTTACCGAAGTTAGAACTAGAAGACCTTAGCAATCTCCTCTATGCTCCTATTATCTAGCCTTGATTGTGAAGTTGGGTTAAGCTAGATTTGGTTATTCTCACACATGTTTCCTCGAGTTTGATATAAAATTGGGTACTCCCGATGAAGTGCTACATCGGTATAACATCCGTGCGCTTGCGGATTATTCTATGTGCATTAATTTATACCAACAAGCATTTCTAGCGCCGTTGCTGGGGAAATGGTCGCTGAGTTAACTTTGAACCTAGCTTATCCTTGTATCAGTATTCTTTTATCTTTTATCTTTTTATCTTTTCTTTTTACCATGGATCTAGAATCCATCCCTATCTACCAATATGGTGCACCTACGAGCGCACGCCTACAGCCACAAGTGTCTTCAAAGCCTATCCTAACACCTGGCTATGAGCTACGCCCGTGTTTAATTAACATGGTTCAGGATCAACCCTTTTTGGGCAAAGATGATGAAAACTCCTATTCCCACCAAAATGAGTTTGAGCAAACCTGTGCATGCTTGCGCATAGCAGGCAAGTCAGACAAAACCGTACGATGGAAGATTTTTCCCTTCTCTTTGATGGGAGAAGCTAAACGTTGGTACAACCTCACTATAGGGAGTAGACAAGGAGATTGGGAAGCCTTGTGCTCTAGCTTTTGCTTGCAATTCTTTCCCATCTCTAGGGTAGTCAGTCTTCGTTTAGAGGTTCTATCTTTTAAACAAAAGAAAAAAGAATCTCTAGGCACGGCATGAGAACGCTTTAATACTCTCATTAATACGGGCCCTGACCTTGCCATTCATGACCCTATTCTTCTTCAACACTTCTATATGGGTCTTGATAGGAAAACCTCAAAGCGTCTTAATACGGCCTTTGGAGGTTCGTTCTTGCATGTCTTCGCAAATTCGGGGAGAAGCATTCTTACGAAAAATCTTAGAGAACACCCCTGAAGAAGTAGAAAAAAGCCATTAGAGGAGGTATCCTAGATAGCTGAACCAGAATCGTTACCAGACCCATCACCAACTTCAGCTGTCCCAGATCTCGAACCACCAAAAAAGGAGGAAACTCTAATTTCGAACTTTATGATTGAATTCGAGGATGAACTTTTTGATGAATATGGAGATACCTTGAATTACCAAACGATGAGGAGACCCTAGAAGTCTAGGAAATCATCATCCCATGAAGAACCTTTG